GTTACCACCAAACACCTTTCTGTTTAATCAAAAATTAAAACTTACATATGCTCTGTCAAGAAAGCACCGGGAAAAAGTCGATAATACACAAAATGTTTGTTATTCATCTAAATTTATTTTATCACCTTCAAAGTATGCTCCTTCAGAAACGATACACTTACGGCAACGAATAATCCAATCATTGAAACTTTTTTTAAACGCTGTTTCCGGAATTGAGTTCAGTGCTCGCCGCGAATTCTCCTTTATGTCTTCTAACGATTGAAAACGGGTGCCACGAAGGGGTAATTTGTGTGTGGGAAAAAGAAAGAAGTCGGCTGGAGCCATATCTGGTGAATATGGTGGCTGCTCGATGGTGTTTGTTGAGTGTTTGGACAAAAAATCGTTTACAATGATGGCCTTGTGCGGAGGCGCATTATCGTGATGCAAAATCCAAGAATTTTCTTTCCACATTTCTGGCCTTTTTCGTCAAATTTGTTCTCTTAAACGCCGCATTACGCTCAAATAATATTCTTTATTTACCGTTTGACCTTCGGGCAAGAATTCTGAGTGCACAACACCGCGATAGTCAAAGAAAACAGTCAACATGACTTTGACTTTTGATCGACTTTGACGTAGTTTTTTCGGTTTTGGTTCAGTTGGAAGGCGCCATTCCGAAGCTTGTAGACTAGTTTGCATGTCAAACTCGTAAACCCACGTCTCGTCACCAGTAACAATGCGTTTCATGAATTTTGGGTCGGTATTGACTCGTTCTAGCATGACCTCAGCGACTTTTATGCGATTTAGTTTTTGAAGAAAATTCAGGTCTTTTGGGACTAGCCGAGCGGCAACACGTTTCATACCCAAATTATTTGTTAAAATGGTACGGATCGACTCGTGAGATCCAGAAAGTTCGGCGGCCATCTCTCTCAAACTTGAATGAGGATTTTCAGTCACTATTTCCTTCACTTTTGCGATGTTAACTTCAGTTGCAGACGTTGATGGCCTACCAGAACGAGGCAAATCTTCCATCACATCTCGACCGCTTTTGAACGCTTTGTACCACTCATAAGCCCGTGTTTTTGATAAAGTCGATTCACCGTAAGCCTTCTGTAACATTTTGAGTGCCTCCGAACACGAAATTTCATTGGCGATGCAAAATTTAAGACAAACTCTTTGTTCGATGTTTTTGTCCATCATGAAATTCGCAATACACACTAGATATTATAAAACTAAAAACAGCACTGTTTTTAATATAAATAACAGATGCAACTCAAATTCCGCGCCTAAATGGAAAACAGTTATGCCAATCTAACAACAACAAAAAAAAAAAATAAAATTCGAATTTGGAACCATAAAAAAACCTTCACTCCCGATACTTTGTTGACTGACTGTATATCTACATCGCCAACGTCTTCAACTCACTCTCGTGTTTGATATACATATATGTAGGTTTTTTTGTATGTGCTCGACTGTAGTCACATTTTATTTCAAATATAGTATACAAAATGAAGTATAATATTACATTTTATAAGTCCCAGTAGCAGAAAGCGCATAAAATGGTAGTTTGCAGAGAAATCTCCCGTATTTCTATCAATTGCTCTCTTCGCTTCAACTGGCACGCGAGCTCTGAAAGGCGTGCTAGTGCTACGCTATTACAGTTCGCATCGAAAAGCAGTTTACTTAAAGGAGTCTTGCTTACTGAACAATTTCAAACTACGCTCAAACGTGTAAGATTTGCTTTAGGACTTTGTTATTTATAGTGTCCTATACCGAAATTATATTTTTAGTCGAAAATACACCTTAGTATTAGATAAGTGCCTTAAAATTGGCCAGAAAACACTTAGAGAAAACAGGCGTGGTTCTCGATTCCGCCAATCCCCAAATTCCTAACCCCTAAATCCTGACAATACGCTTGCAATTCCTCTGGTGTTGTGAGTGTCCATAGCCGGCGTTGATTGCTTACCATCAGGTGTCCCATCTGTTTGTCTGTCAACCACATTAATAAGGGTAAATGATCCCGAGACCTTCATTCATCGACCAGTTCTTGTCCACAGTTGGCCAAAAGCTTCTTCAATAGTATCCATATAATTCTAATTCAGTTCTTTGGTAAATTTTAATTTAGAGAGATTCTTAATAAGTGACATGGCTTAATCATCTTAGACAACAGATAAAAACAAACGAATCTAAAACCTCTTGAAAGATAAGAAATTAAGAGCAATCTTATCGTGTTTTTACCTTGTTTTGTTATTTGCTAAGCAAACATAGCCTTTCTTACAAGCCCTTTGTAAGGAATCCATGACAAGCTTAGCTTATCCAACAAGATAGATCGGTCATCGGTAAGTTCACGACCACCACCCCATCTACAACCTTAGAACACGAAGACCATTTATTTTACTTATCTCAAATAGACAACGGTTTAGTGGCTCGAATTAAAAAAAGAAACCCAGTCCATAAAGTTTTAATCTTGACAGTGTGATATCCATCAGTGAAAAATTAGGCAAAGGACATGGCCAACTTTTGTATGGGCGTTTGCATAGTTATTGAATTCAATGTACATCAATGATTTTTGGTGTTTACATTCGTGAATATTATTAAATTAAATTGCAATAAATAAAACACATGAAGAACTCGTAATTATACCAAACAAGACGAAAATAGTTTCACTAAACCTTTAGTCAGATTACTGGCCATAAGTGCACGAAATAAGATTTTGCTTATAAAAACCATGGCGTTTTAATTATTTATTTATTTATAAAATAAAACAAAAGAATATGTATAAAGAATAATGATTTATTTATTAAGGAGAACAAATAAAATAAAACTACGTAATAATTCACTTTTATATTTTTATTATAAAGTGTATTTTATTATGTTTGTGTATGGAATGTACGTTTCTGTAATATATATTCTGTATAATTGGGTAATAATATGGTAGTACTTTCCATTTGAAGCGGCCTGCTTAAAACAGGTGGTAATGGTGGTGGCTCTGGTGGGCTAACCACTTGAATATAAGGGGCTGCTGCATTGTTGTCCGAACCCAATTTCTGCAAGTTTCGTGACAAGTCCTGCACAAACATAGTTGCTTCTTGAGGTCTGAAAATAAACCCCAGTTATTCTTGGGCCACACTAACGGGAAATGGCATTTATTATCGCGGTAACGGACGTTAGTCGTAGGTGTAATTTAATCACTAAACAAATGAATTAAGGTGTATTTTTCATTGTTAAATATCATGAATTATCGCGATAATTATTTGCAGTTCCCGTTAGTGTAGCCCAAGCATTAGAATAAACACATGTTTTCAAGTATTATGTTATTGTACAGTGAGAAGTATTATGTTACAACATGCCTACTTTAAAGAAGTCTATGCAAACATGGAAAATACATAAAGGTAGATATTATAATCACACATGCCTACTATGAGTACTTTTTTTATAGATTAATATAGATAAATACAAGTACATATATAAAACAATGAATAAAAAGCAAAATGCTTACCACATTAATAGTATTTTATGACATTAGGCCAGCTAGCAATGGAGAGTCCATACTGACATTATGGTGTCTTATTTTTCGAACCGATTTTCCACAACCAAGGCAAGCCATGTTATGCCCCAGTAGTCTCTCATGTTCACCAGCCTCAGTATTCAATAATAAGAAGCGTGGTTGACAAATGAATGTCCCCAGAGGCAACTAAAAAAAAGATGCACTATTTAAAATCGCATACTATTATAAAACATAAAAAAAACAGACTAAGTATTATACTATTCCGACTTCATACCTGGGTTTGAGCTATGGTTAACCATCGTGAAAGTTTTGTTTGATGGTGTGCAGAAAGCGAGGATATAAGACGCCTCTGCAGCCTTTGTACGCCTATTCCGCAGTTGATGCACCTCATCGTAATCCACAAAACAAATCCAAAACGCAAAACAGTTACTCCAGTATTATTAGCAAGGTTAATAAAAACACGCTGTCAAAAGTGTCAAACACGTTCCGTTTCGTTTAAGTTTTTTTTTTTTGGTGTATTGGATAAAAATAAAACATAATATTATTATAATATGAGTATATTTTAAAATGCAACTAAAACCAATGTATACAGTTTCGTAGGGATAAAATGTTCCTAGTGTAATGCATTTGTCGATCATATCACACGTTTTCTACGAGTTTAGTTTAAGACACGTGGTTTGGAATTGGAACGTCTTTTTATTTATCTTTCTCTATGGACTATTATGGCGAAACTTGACAAACGATAAGTTGATTTTGTTGCATTACTTCTACATTTTTTTAATAATAATTGTCAGGTCTGGAGAGGCTAAAAACTACGTAATAATTCATATTTCTATTTGTATTTTACAGTGTATTAATTTTGTTCGTGTACGTGGAATGTACTTTTTTGGCCATGTCCTTTACCCATTAATTTTAAGTTCGTGTTGGAATGCGCACATTTTTAGGCGTTTATCTACTATCATTTAATGATAAGGTGCAAGCTCAAATTTTTAAAATTCCCAAATTATTATTTTGGATGTAAAGCACGTCTTTAGTCACCTGAAAATGAACCTGTTTAAAAGCTGGTGTTCTGGGTGTATAAGTATACCTATATAGGGGGCGCTGATTGGTTCCCATATTCCAAATTATTCGTCACATTTTAACAATTCCAGAAAAGAAACGTAAGTGTGGGAGAGCTAAGCTTCGGCACGAATGGGTCGGCTTGACCGGAGTGATACCACGGCATCACAGAATACCGGTGTGAAACAACCCACAGTGTTGTGTATCGTCGCCGCGTCGTGTGAGTGAGGTTACCGGAAGCCCAATCCCTTTCCTTCCCCTATTCCTTCCCGATCCTTATATCCGCAACCCCTATCCCCAAAAGGCCGGCAACGCACTTGTAACTCCTTTGGTGTTGCGGGTGTCCATGGGCGACGCCGATCGCTTACCATCAGGTAATCCGTCTGCTCGTTTGCCGACTTATACCATAAAAAAAGAAACATTCACAATCAAACATCAATTGAAACCAACATATTTATTATTGAGATTGTTTTCTCAAAATGTATTCATTATGGGTTACTCCCAGAACGAATCTGTAGACAAATCCAGCTACAAGACCTCCCAAAAGGGGGCCAACCCAGTACACCCAAAAGACTTTATAAATGCCCATAATTACGGCAGGTCCTAAAGACCGGACAGGGTTTAAGGAGGAAGTATAGGGTATACTTGAGCAAAGACAACCTGTGATGCAGATGCCTATGGCTAACGGGCTGGATCCAAGACCCCTGGACCCTCTTTTGGGGTCCAGTACACTTAATACGACAGATACAAGGAGGAACGTCATGAGGAACTCCAGTGCGAAAGCCTGGTCTGATCTGGTCTCGGTGTAGGGTACTGTGGCTCCGAGGTTCCCTTTGATTTTCTCCGCTGAAACCAAGTAGGCTACTCCTGAACCTGGAATGTGAAGAAAATGTGCTGATTAATTAAATTATTAGTTCTCTTTTTCTTTGAGATAGTATTTGCCATTCACTAATTTGTTTTTAGCTGATTATATAATAGAAATAAATTGCCCAAAAGCGCAAATCTCGAAAATTGCCAGAAGAAGATTGTTATGATACAAAATCTTGGAAAAGCTTAGATAAATCTTGTTAGTTAGTTTCTTTCTAAAGTCTCATTTTTCAATGGTTAGATAAAAATAACCTGGGGAATAATTATTACGCTGTCGCGTCAGAATGTTTGTATAAGACAGTGACAGCCACAAATTTTATTCCTCAGATAATATTTATCTGACTGTTGAAAAATCAGCCCTAAATCTTTTGATAAAGAAAATGCAGATAACCTGCTGTCACATATTTAATTTTAACAAAAGCAATGTTTCAAGACTTTTCATCTAACTACAACAATAATGTGTTCGTATTTAATTAGTACTGCCTACCTATTTGCTGGCTACTAGCATAAAAGCACCGTTTTTATACACACACATAAAATATAATAATAGTTTAATTAAAATAAAGTTAAGTCCTCATTAATTTATTGTCTGGCATCTCGTACGTAGGATCCAATTTGAGGCCAGGCAATTAAGCTCAGTACTTATGATAAAACGAAGCTTGTGTAATGAAATTTCTTTTGTATTATAATCACTGAAATGCCAAAAGCTATGTAGTACATTAATAAATTGTTAGGACATGCCAGAACGCGGTACTTACAATGATTTCGTGGTAATAAAAAAAATGATTTCTTTTGGTTTTATGCAATGTGCCAAGATGAGTTTCCAGAATGGCTTCAAATATGCTTAAAAATATCAAAATCTTTAATTCAAAATTGCCATTAAATTTCTTTACATCAAAAATGGCACTTAAATACGCTGTACTCATAAATTAAAAACCCACAAAATACTAAATATCACGTACAAATACCATCAGCAATAATGTACAATTTTCAAACCTCCCGTATATTCTAACCACAAATATCCATACGTCAAAATCAGAGCACCTACCTGCAATGCCGCCCAAAACTTGCACAGCAACATAGCATACGGCTTTTAATGGCTTTATATATCCACATACAAGAGCACCAACGGTTACAGCAGGATTTATATGACCTCCGGACACATGCCCACACATTTGTACAATACTAGCTACAACTAGCCCATTGGCCAAAGAGACTACAACGGTATTATTGTTAGTTCCATGGGCGATTCCAGCAGACAATACTATGCTTAAGTAAAGGAAGGTTCCAAGGAATTCAGCAAATAATTGCTTGGATAGATTTTTGTAGTTTTTTATCTCTTTCGTGCCTAGATAGCGGCCTGTGGCGTCCATTTTTATTGTTACTGTTTAAGCCTACTAGATTAATATCAGGTGTGGTTTAAGTTGATGGGAATGATAATAACTAGTCAAATACAATACTTTTTTTTGAAGTGGCAAAAACGATACCTACTCTTCTGTATTTTTTTTAATTGACTTTGACTTTGTTTCAGCATTATTAATCAATAACAGTATGTAAAGGTTTTTGCGGAAATAATTTAATACGAGTTCGAGGATGTTTACTGTGTTACCGTAACGATTTAAATTTCGTGTTAGACATTTAGTTAACTGCTTATACAAAAATGTTTTTTTCGAATTCGGAATTATATGGAGCTGATTTTAGGTTTTTTTTAAGATTGTTCGGATCGATTTACAGTCCCGACATAGCTTTGAAAATGATAGCATCCCAGCAATACTTTAAAATACTCTTAGTAAACAACCTTCTCATATTCATACTAGGCAAAGCTAGCTTATCCGTTACCACAAATTATATTTAGAAAGAGAGCAGTTTAAGGCTTAAGAGAAGCCGTCTTAAAGTAATTGTTTAATCTAAAACCCGTTAGGCTTAAAGGCAAAGTTTATTAATTAGCGATTGGTTCAACTCTTTATTAGTAAACGTTTCTCAAAGATGTTGGTGTTTATATTTCATTTTCATTAGAGCCAGCGGTTTTGAAGTTCGATGTATTTTGTAGTAATTAGGTGTACTTTTTTGTTCTCGTTTTATTTATTAATAGGTTTATCTGTTTACTTCATTCAATACTTTTTACTACATTTAAATAAATTTAAGATAAATAAACAATTATCGAGCTTTTGTTTTTCGAAAGGGTTTAGTTTAGGGTGAAAAATCAGTCCATGAATTCTCTCGCCCTGGATGAGGTTGTCGGACTCTTACTGGCTTAAAACCATCTCAGTCCTTCTCCTTCAACTGGATCGCGATATATATATAATTGCGCTTCCACCCACAACCTTAGCTGTGGATCGGATCTAGTTGGCCAAATCTGTGGAAGTCTGATGGCTTGGATCGCGACGGTCACCGACACCCTGCGCTCGGGATCTTTAGGTAGGCTTTGCATTTATTTTATTTTGTTGAACCCCGAGTAATATTATGTATTTATACAAGTCATGGTGTCCAATAGGTTAAGACACCCTCTTCTCATGCATGAGGTTGCGGGTTCGAAACAGGGCAGGTACCAATGTGACTTTTTGCGATTTAAAAAAAGAACGTTCGGTTTCAAGCAATAACATTTTTCTATGTATGATTTTTTAAAGTTGACTGTATCTGACAGTGCACATAGTCAGGAAACGGGTTTATGTGAATACTTTTTAGGATTATTTTGACGCCACTGATACACGGTGAAGGAAAAAATCGCGCTAATTATGAGTTTGATGTTGTCGATCTGCCTTGAGCAAGCTTGGTGATTAACGCTCAAACCTTCTCCATGTGAGAAGAGGCCTTTGCTTAGCAGTGAGCACTAATAGACAGGGCATTTATAGAGATTTAAGTTTCAACTTAACGTTAATCACATTCAATATGTACTCATTTATGAAAAGAAAGTTATACCTATACAGATATAATTATGTACATACATTGTTCCCGTCGCCTGCTGCGTATACCTACCTGCCATCATACCGTAAAAATACGGTAACATGGCCAATTTCATCCAATCCCGTTACATGATTTATTTGTTAAATCCATTTTTCGCGTGTAAATAATGTATTCGTTTGCTCTTGGAAAATCAGTGTTTCGAGTTACAGCGGTATGAAATGTGATGGTTGGGGTGTGGTAGCACTGTAAGCGGGTGTTTGTAGATATTTTTTAACTACAGTATGAATAGCAGGTGTGGGAAAGCTAGGCACGAATGGATCGGTTCGACCGGAGTAATTGAGAGCATTGTGTCTCGCCGTGTGATTGAGGTTATCGGAGGCCCAATCCTTACCCTTCCCCAATACCAAAATTTCCAAATCCCTTATCCCCAAGAGGTTGGCATCATACTCGTAACTCCTCCGTTGTAGCAGGTGTCCATCCATGGGTGACGCTGATTGCTTACCATCAGGTTATCCGTCTGCTCGTTTGCCTCCTCTCTCTTGTTTCCAACCTTTGGGTGAGATATGATGTTTTATTCAAATCTTTGGTGATCAAAATAAAGTAAAATATTTAATCAGTGCAACTATATGGAAAGAAACCATGGGCTCGCCCATCAGGGTTATATTTGTGTAAAAAATGTATTGCGTTTTATAGTCAGACCTACTGAAATAATGATTCTACTGTCCTGTTACAACATATGTTAGTACTGTCACAAGCTTAAGTTAGAACAAGTGCCAGTTCAGCGTCTGCAATACAGCGCCTAGTTTATTCTTAATTTTTTTGCTGGTTCTATTAACTGCCTCTATTTATGTCGGTAATAGCTGCAAAAGCAATTGTGAAAGTTGCGTATTATATGGCTAACCATATAATACGTCAAGCCTACCGACAGACCGACAGGCGGATAGAGTTCATTAGCTTAAAAAACAATAAGGTAACTCAGATATATTCTTGTCACCAATACAACCTAGTGTAAAATATAGATCATTTCATGCGCAGTGGACGTGGCCCAGTTGTGGCTGGCCAGGTCGCGACTAGATGAAGCGTAAATTACTCCGCTGACAGTCACGCCACGCACTGTAAAGTATCATATTTTTTCATTCCCGCGAACATCTCGCTTGATTATAACTCAAACAGACGAATTATATTGTTGTTTCGTCGCTTTTTACTCCATGTTCTATACAAATACAAAATTCTCAGTTTGTTCGACAAAAAATTTTGGTTTCTCAAGGGACGATTTTATTTTCATAGTTGTATTGTGTAAAAAGATATTTTTTCAACTTTTTATAATATTATTCACAAAAATATTTGTTTACTCTTTTTAAATTCATTGTCCGTTTTTTATGTCCGTGGGAAATTCTTCAAATTTCTTCTCTTGCTCTGGATGGGGTGAGGGGGACTGTTAGACTTTCTTTGCCGTGGCCATGGACATAATTGGGCTTGACCGCATCCCCGGCTGAACATCAGACCTATTGAGCCTATGGGGGTCTACGAGCAGACGGATTACCTGATGGTAAGCGATCAGCGCCGCCCATTGACACACGTAATACCAAAGCAGTTACTACAAGCGCGTTGCCGACCTCTTGTGGGTTGTTAGGTATTTAACGATAGGAGATTTGAGGATTAAGAATGGGGGAGACTTGGGCCTTTAAAAACCTCACTCATACGTCCAAATACAACGTAGATGTTGCTTTACACCGGTTTTCTGTGAGGCCATGAACCGTCGAAACACGGCTCTCCGACTCTTACCTGTATACGAAAATTACGAAATAACTATGCAGATTGTAGACATCAGAGTATCATGATAATCTAACAGGACGGGTGAAGGTCTCATTAAAATACAAATATTTCACTTTATATGGAAACAATACGAGCAAACATTTTTATGTTTTTTTACCTCTTTGCTTTCTTGGAAATAAATCTTTATTCGCCTGCCTTATCTTGTTTAGATACGAGTATGTGAGTTCCTTTGTTTTTTTTTGGTAGGCATATTATCTTTCTTATATATAAAAATGGATCGCAAAATGTGTTGTAAGCGCATAACTCAATAACGCCTGGACCAATTTGGCCAATTCTTTTTTTAAGATGTTCGTTGAGGTCCAAGGATGGTTCTTACGGCGAGAAAAAAACGAATAATTGCCGGGAAAACCCTAAAAACAGCCCTTTTCTTTTTCACATACAAACGTTTTCTAACTAAAACGTCGAATCAATTTGAGCTTTATTGCTGTTATACATAAGGTTCATATTAAATAACAAGCACTCACTGTTATCTAAGAAATAAGTGAAAGAAAAAAAGGTGTGTTCCTAACGTCAAAAAGTAAATTTGCACTTTCTTACCACTAAACAAAGTTCAAATTCAATCATCTATCAAAACAGTGTGCGCGTGTGCTTTGGAGCTGGAACACAGAATTCGTCGTTTGAGGATTAACAAGTCGGGTTCCGAAAACAAAAAAAAAAATCCGATTTGAATGATTCTTTCAGTGTTATGTAGTCCATTTATCGAGGAAGGTATATTTTATTTAATTCAAAATTAGGGATCTGTAATAAAATTGCTATTTTGTAACACAAGGAGTAAAATCGAAAACCTATTTTTGCGTGCGCTGCAATAACTATTGACCATAGAACAAAATTATGTACTACGGGTTTGTAGATTCTATTAAAACCTACAAAAAGTCCGCGAGAGCATATATCTAGCTATCATGGTTTAATCACAATACCCGATTTTGTGTTCAAAATAATTATTAAATCGTCTGAAGGAAAAAAAGCGTTAAATATGTATCGTTATATTATTCTTTATCGGAATTAAGCATTATGTTATCAAGAGTATTTATTTATACGTATTTTAAAATACTTTTTTATTTCCTCTCAATCTCTCAATCGTTTAAAAGTTATCATGTGTAAAAGATGTTAAGAGTTGGTACCTTATTAATGAGTTATGAACCATAGAGTTTTTTATCAACATAAAATCCTGTAATAATATTTTTCGTAATATATTTGTTGATGATTGTAAGTATAAGATGTTTGAAGAGTATAAGAAATACATTTCTAAACTAACTCTGCTAAGGAAAAGGAAATCCAAGGAAAAAAATACATCTTAATTTGGAAATGTCGTTGCGGAAGCCATACAATGTAAATGAATTAAATGAGTATATTACTGTAAATGCACCCAAGTTCTTTAATGACCAGGTAATGGCAAACAATAGTGTTATGCTCAGTGTTGTTTCAATGAGGGAAAATATTTTTTTGGATGCTCCAGGCGGAACCGGCAAAACTTTCATTACCTACTAATATGATATTAGCAAAAGTAAGGTCTCAGAGAAAACTAGTTTTGGCAGTAGCGTCATCTGGAATCGCTGCTACTATATTAGCTGGCGTACGCACAGCTCATTACACTTTTAAACTAACATAACCTAACCGTTCCGTTACAGAAAGA